TTTTTGCTTATGTGGTGCTGAGGAATCGAACCAAGGGCCTCATGCATGCAAGGCAAGCGCTCTACCACTGAGCTACCTTCCCAGCCCCAAGAGTCCTGTTTTTTAAGAGCTTGAAAACCTGGGAAGAAGGATGTATGTGGTGATGTTGATTATGATACATCATAGTTATAAAGTGATTTGTTGAATGGTAATCTCTTTGTACAACAACTTAAAGATAAAGTGATTTTTAAAAAGAACTTGAAAACCATTAAATTACAGCCCTTTGAGATAAGTGTTTTAGCCTTTGTATCATGGAAGATTTCAAACGCATACCATCTATGCAATCTCTATCCAGCTTCAACAAGTACCACCAACTTGGCAAATCTCATTTCATATCCAACTAATAAGAACACAAAGAAAAATGCAGAAAGATTATCTTTCCGTTCTAAAATGCTAGGATTGAACATTCTTGGTACTGCAAGCAAGTCTGGCTCCAGAGCCTCACTGCCTGAGCTGAATATACAAGAATGGAATATTGGGGTTGGTGCAGGAGCTCTCAGGAAACCAGGTCAGGAAACAGCACAAAACATTATAAGGCCTCCTTATCCCTGGCAGGGGAAAGGTGAAGTCACAGGAAGGAACTGAATCGGGGCAGAAGTGTGGTAAAGCTCTTACTCCCACAGGACTTTAGAGGAGTCTGACAACCCTGATTTTCTCCCAGGTGACAGGATGTCAAAGTTTCCAGCCCAGGAGGAATCTAGAGTTTCTCAGCAAAGCTGGGGAGCAGCCTAGTCCTCAGGGAGGCTCCCAGTTCACTCAAGCCTCAGTACCAGCAAAGCTGCCTTCCAAAGCCAGAAAAAAAAAGTGGATGGATAGATTTCACTGTATCCTATGTGTGTATTCTTTTTCTTAAATTTGAGTTGCTGCACCTGAATGGGGCAGGTTAGCAGAAGACTAACCAGGTGCAAAGGATGTAGAATGAGTGGTAGTGATTTCCATGGAAAAAGCACTTGACATACTGCTTTTGATTTGTGTATCATCATGGAAACATCTATTGATCTGCCCCTTTCTATATGTCAGGTGATTTTATTAAAGAGATAGCATTTAGTCTTCTTGGCAGCCTGCAGAATGGTGTCAAGCATTCTAATTGCTCCAGTCATGAATTGGAGACTCCTGGAGGTGGAGTAATGCTCTTAAGTGGCAGAGCCATTGTATTTAGTGATAAAGATTTGTTCTGGAACACCAGCCAGCACATTCCTGCCTTTTAAAGCCACTCTGACTGAGCCTGAATAACCACAAATCAAGCTGATAGCTAGCCAGGTGCTGATGGCTCACATCTGCAATTCTAGCTACTCTGGAAGCTGAGAACTGAGGATAGTAGGCCCAAGCCCCAGGCCAGGTGGAAAAATCCCCATGAGATTCTTGGCTCCAATTAACCACTCAAAAACTGGAAGTGGTGCTGTGGCTCAGTGGTAGAGTGCTAGCCTTGAGCACAAAGAGGCTCAGAGACAGAGCTCAGACCCTGAGTTCAAGCCCCATAACTGACAAAGAAAAAAGCTGATAACTAAGAAAACGGAGCATCCATTTACTCTCCACCTTCACATGCTAGACACTTTATTGAGCTGTCCTCCTCAGCTCTCTGTCAACCTGGAAGTTGAGAATGTAACTTTGCAAAGAGTCTTTGGAAATGTAGTCAAGTTAGCATGAAGTCCTACACGATCACGGTAGACTGTAAAACCAATATGACCCATGTGCTTAAAAAATAGTCACAGAGACACGGAGGCCAGATGATGTGACAATCACTAGAAGCTGGAAGGAGTAAAGAGGAGTCCCTCCTACAGCCTTAGAGGATGGCGATCCTACAGACACCTTGATTTCAGCCCTCTGTTCACCAGGTGGGTGTGACTGGTTTCCTCAGCCCTAGGAAACCAGGGCAGACACTACTGTGCAGAGCGTTGATTTCTATGCATTATTTCATTGGCTCCTCATGGAACCCTGTGATTATTAATCATTTTTCAGATGAGAAAATTGAAGCCCAGAGAGTGAGAGACCTGACCAAACTCACCGAGCTCACAACCTGAAAAGCCAGGATTCCATCCAGCTGATTCCTCCTTTCAACACCTCTGACTGCACTGCGTCTACAGTAAAACATGGGTTGACCATCTCCCGGCACTTACAGGGCTTCTGAAAAGTCTTTTGAGGCCTCCTGGGATGTTCTACTGCCCAGTTGAATTTTCAAATCACTGTTGTAGTGAGTACAGGAATCAAAAGCACCCAAGGGCCTGTGGAGTTTTTGGTTGCTTGAGGTCCTGTGCCTTGCGTTGATTTTGTAAACCTATATATCTCATCCTGATTGGTTTACAGCAAGGTAATTTTCCCAGAGCTGTTGATGAATAGTCCATGCCTCACCTCCGCACCCTGCCTGCATCCCGTGCTAATGACAGTCATGACATCTGCTGGTGACTCCCTTGAACTACATCGGAAGCCAACGGAGGATGCTACCAGGACCTTCAGCAAGAGGCAGCCACCCCTGGGCCACAGTTTGGATGGAAGAATAAGAGGAAAAACCGTGAGGTATGGGGACTAGGAAAGGAGGAAGGGAGGAACAAGCGTGAAGCTGCAGAGCCTCACCTCTAACCATTCTGCTGCAATTCCCAAGGTGGAGTGACGCTGTATTCAATTTGACATCAGGAAAATAGAGATCCTAGCTGTGCAGCGGAACCCTGGCTAACTTCTGAGCTCCTAGGGCACTGATCATCTGCGGGTTCCCTGGGGCAAAAGCCTGGAGCAGAGGGATGGGGAGACTGGAGCAAGGCTTGTCACACCTGTCTGAAGAGAAGATGCCTTCAGCCGGCCATGATCCTCATGTGTGAAGACCCTGGAACTCTCGCTGCACACACTTTAAGAACTTTAGTGCAGTTCCCCTCCAGCACTTTCTGGGTGCTCTGTGGTCACTATGGTAGTGCCCAATCACATCTTTCTTACATGTGGTATTTGAGAACAGAAACTTCGGACACAGGTCTCTGGGAACTAGGTAGACCGTCTTGCAGCTCTGCTGGCCTGCATGGTTCTATCTGATTGAACTTCACCCTGAAGGCACCCATTCTACCCATTCTGCCCACTTCCTTGGTGGCAAGAGGAGTCACATGCTTATTGGCTAAGCCTTCTCACCATCCTTGGCACCTTCTCTGCACCCATGTCTGCCTTGCAAGTCCTTTTTCAAGAGGCCCACTGGAAAATGTATGTCCAGGACCCTCCTTAGGGTCACATGTGGAGAAGGTCCAGGGAGTAAGTCCTGAGCCCACTGCAAACTGGGGATATGGGGCATGAGTTGGCATGCTGTGGGAAGTGAACTGTAATGTCCTGATGGTGAGAGGGATGGAGCTTTGTTTGCTGTGGAGGATGGTGCTGCAAGTGAAGAGCAGTCTTGGTTGCTACATCTGGACTGCGGTAAGAAGGAAGAAGGAATGCATGGTAGCCCTATTAGTAGCCTTTTGAGAAGGCTTGGAGGCAAGACCTGTGTCAGCCCAGTCTCGGGGCCTCAGGACCTCCTCTGCACACCTAGGAGCAGAATAGAAGCCAGCTTTGTTGTAGTAGCTGAATAGGAATGTATAACAGTAGTGACTTATGTGTGACCAGAATGTATAACTGCTGTTGTATACTGCTATCAATGTCCTAGGAGGAGGAAGATCAGTCTGGTGTAGCCTGAAGTGAAACTATCTCCTAGTCTCAAGCATTAATAGCAATCTGTAGCCTTTGCTCCCCTTGAATCTCTGACGATGTGGTAACCTGCTCCAAGGACTTATGGTTTCTCTCCACTAGGGTGACATTTGGAGCATCATTGTGGTGAGTGACTCCTGAGGTCCTATCCCTCTGTTCTTCCTGGGAATATGAGGAACAGGGGCTCAGAGGGTTGGGTATATGACATGATATAGGACTGGGTCCAGGCAGAGCAGGCATTTACATGTGAGCAGTGTCCAGTGTTCTCACAAGGCCAGGACTTCCTTCTTTAGCAGTCCCAGGGTCAGAATTACCAGGACTGTTGGAGTCACAGGGAACACTTGCTCTTCCTCTAAAACACAAGGGGACGGAGGGGACGGGGGAAAATTCCATGCTGTTCTTCCCTAGACAGGCACGTGGGAAACGTGACCAAATCAGTCCCAGATGGCATAGTCATTCACCACAGACCCTGCTGTCTTTCTGAGCCCCTCAGAGAAGAAAGAGTGCAAGAACTGGTACCATGGTGCTGTTGGTATAAGCCGTCAATTAGTCCCACAGGGGTAGGTGAGGGCCTTCAGGATGCAATGAAAGACCAGGAAAGAAGTTCCTCTAGAGTGGAAGAAAACCAATAATGAAGCAATATTTGTCAGCAAATTGTAAAGAACAAGAAAACCTGGCTCAAATCCAAAACTCAAGATGCTGAGGGTGTGGCTTAAGCAATGGAGTACCTCTCTATCATGTATAAAGCCCTGAGTTCAAACCCCACTGCAGAAAAAAATAGTGTCAGTGCCTAGGTTCCATTTCCAGAGATTCTGATTTAGTTGGTTAAGAACCAAATCCCAAACTTCTCATTAGGATAGATCTAGGAATGTTTTGCTTTACTTTAACAAGCTGGAATTAAAAGGGGAGGGATAGAGACTAGGTCTGGGAGAGGTATTGAGACAAATCCAGATACAGATATTGGTACCTGATCCAATTGTCCAAGTGAATAGAAGATCAATGACAAGCATCAACGTCGTGCTTTCTATAGGTTATCTTACTTTTTGTTATGGTAGTGTTGACTGGAACCTGTGGCTGCTCTCAGCTATGAGCTGACAAGAATTGCTGTCTACTTAGTCTTGACTGACAGAGAAAATGGTTATCTCCTGTTCGTTTCTGGAAGCCATGCTGGATGCTGCCTTCTATCTCATTCATGAATACGCACTTGGATATCCTCCTGCCATCTTGAGTGGGCAGGGGGTGGGGTGGGGGAGGCTTTAACATTGCCTGTTCTCCAATCTACAAGTTGAAGAAAATGTAAGGGTCCGGTCACCCAGAAGTAGGTTGGCTGAGAAGAACAAGGGGACAGTTGTGTTTTTGCTGTGACATGGTTGGTGATACTGAGTGCATGACTACACTTTGTCTTCCCCCTAAGACTGTGTGAATGTGACCATGGAGGCTGCTCTGATAATGCATTCCCCTGCAGTCCACAGTCTCCTGTCTGCACGCAGCACTTGTCCAACATTTGGTTGGGAATAAAGCTGGGATCCAGAGTCCCTTCACACCTAGGACTTGTATAATCACATAACTATGGGTGGACCATCCTCACAGGCCTATGGTTTCAAACACCACTTGCTATACTCTAAGGCATGGAGGATGACCTCTCCTTAAAGAGGTTTCTCACAAATGGTGCATGTATGTCACATGGGAGAGATTCTGCTTTTCTATAAACACAGAGCTGCTTGAGTGCTTACTCTCCCCCTCTTCCTACACCCCATAGTGGACCCTCTGATGGGAGGGAGAGATGGGTACACAGCCCTCTGGAGGTGCTGGGATTATGTTGGTATCGTGCTGTTACTTTCCTGTTCACGTATTCCCTGTGCTAAAAGATCCATTCACTCCTTCATGGCAACCTCATTGTGGGGCATTTCCCCTTCAGGACTCATTATTCCCAGGGCCTTAGCTTTCCTCTACAGGGATTTTGTTTTGTAAAGGTGATGTATACAGGGGGTTACAGTTACATAAGTAAGGAAATGAGTACAATTCTTGTCAAAGATTACTATCCTGTCCTTGGTATTCTCCTACTATCCCCTGGACTCCCCTCCCCACAAAGTTGTAAAGTTCATTTACAACATAGTGTCTTTGTGAGTATCACTATTGTATCGGTTCACCCTTTGTCCTTTGTCTCATTATGGGGAATTTTTTAAATTAACTCATCTGAATACAGCTACTAATGAATTGTCTGTAGTTTCATACTAAACTGTTATGTGAAGCAATCCTGAGCAAGAACAAAGCTGGAGGCATCCCACATCCTTATTTGGGAAAAAAATACAAAGCCACACTGATCCTAACAGTATGGTATTATCATAAAAGGAGACAAGAAGGTACAATGGTGAGGGAAATAGTCTCTTCACTGTGCATATGTATATATACATATATACATATATAATAGATATATGTATATCTCTTATTTATTTATTTATATGGTGCTACACTCCAAGTGGGGGATCTGAACAAACTCTCAGAGGCTTTTCTTCCTTCTTCCCTCCCTCACTGCACCAGCAAAAACATTGTCATTTCCTCCCTGGGCAGAGTTCCACTTGCCCCTAAAGTCCATGGCTCTATATATTTCTTCCTGCTCTCCTCAAACTTGCTAACTCCTTCATCTGTTCTATCCTTATCTGTCTTTGCTTTCAAACCACAGGACCAGGCTCTTGTCTCTTAAATTTAATGTACCCGGTTACACTCGTGAATGTTTCTTTCCTATATGTACCATGGTATGGATATCTAATGGCTTGTTCATACACTCAACTGTCCACCATCATAGATGCATAGTTTCCAACTTCTGTCAGAAACCCTTTTTCATTCTTTATGATGGTGAGGATTGAACTCTGGGCCTCATGCCTGCTAGGAAAATGCTCTACCACTCTGGTATTTGAGCAACATGGAAAGATGTTTTGAAAAGTCACAAATTTGCCTTTACATGGACGTGGTTTAACTTTCCACTTTGGTAAATTTGAGTGGAACATTCCAATAATGTGAGAAGGGTAGTTTTAGCTTCTCAAGAACCTGACACACAGGTCTCCATGTTGGTTGTGATTTCTTGTGCCCCACACGACAGGGTATGAGTTTTTAATGTTCCACATACCTCCCAATACTTGCTAAAGTAGGATTTTTAAATTTGGACTTTTTCTTCCTGTGTAATAAGTGATATCTCACCTTTTAAGTTATACTTTCAATCCCCAATTACTAATGATGGTTGCACATGCTTTAAATCATTTGCCACGTGTATATTTTCTACAGTGAAGGGTCTATTCCAATTTATCTACCACACTAAAGCACTGAAGATTGTAGAAGATCTTACTGAGAAGTATACAGGGATGGGGAACTATTGGAGGTCTAATCTGGACAATCTGTTTAATGGGCCTGAGGTCCTGGACCCGTTGATAGGATTACTAAGCCATTTTGACTGGGAATATGGGACATGCATGGCTCAAGGAGCTATCCCAAATCGATCTCTATCCTTCCCTCTAAAGGAATGGGATATTGTTCTCTCCATACAACCTCTCCAGTGCTTTAGCTGAATTTGAGTAGGCAGAAAGTGAAAGCTACCCCTGTTTCCTTCTTTAACCTATACCAAGGACTTCTCAGCCCAGGGAGTGAATTAATTTAGGGATGCAAATATTTTGTCCCTATTAATATGTAGACCAATTCCCAATTTTGTTATTAAGTTTCAATGAAATAAATTAGTGTCTGCCTTGGGGACCAAAAGGAACTGCAATTTGGTATTTGGGTTTGGGAAACATCTGTTTCCTGTAACACCTGGGCAGAGAAACCTTCTCTCTCCCTTCACTCCTAAGAACAAGAGTAACTCA